GGAGCAGGCCTAAGCCAGCAGGTCGTTATCTCCCGAGGGGTCCCAGACTGCGAGAGGGCACAGGCCGGGCTGGGGGACCCCCCTCCTCCCCCCGAGTGCACAAATTTTTGTGCACCGGGCCTCTAGTGTAAATATAAAAGACAATATAAATGAAATATTTTTTGTAATCCTCATCTGAAGATATTTTTCCATCGATTTTTAGAGAGAGTGGAAGGGAGGGAGAGAGACACACAGAGAGAAATATCGAGGGCCATGGATGGAGCCTTTAACCGAGGTACATGCCCATAACTGGAATTGAACCTGGGACTTTTCAGTCTGTGGGCCAATGCTCTATCCAGCCTAATCTTAATGCACCTTTCATTAAGTAGCACAAAGAAGAAATACAAACTTGTTCTGATGTAAAATAGCAATCCCCCTTTACCCTTCTCTACATTCTTCTAAAATACTGCGGTTATGTGAGACCTTTCTGTCAAACCTACCTAGACACCCTGTTACATATACAAAAGATCCCAGAGTCGTGCGGAAGGAAAGGGTGAAGGATGTGACCCGTATGACAAATCATTCTTTCTCCCCAGTGGGGGTCTAATTAATTGTTTTTCTTTGCTGATAAACCACAGAGAGAGCAAGCGTTAAATGGGGGATATAATTTTAATTTTAAGCAATATATTTATTATAATACTATTTCAAAAGGATTCCTTCAGAGCAGTACTTTTCAAACTGCATTTCATGACCAATTAATGTATTGTGAAATCATTTTATAGGTTATAGCCATCATTAAAAAAAATGAAATAAGATTAAATATAAAATATCAGAATGCAATGAGAAAATACTAGATGTCAGGATAGGTAGTGTTTCAGGAAATTTTTGTTCCAAATAAATGTGCATATACTGTATTTTCGATATAAACATGTTTTTTACTGTGGGTAGCAGACAAAAAAGTTTGAAAATACTCTTTTAGAGGTTGTTGCAATAGGAATTCTGTTTTAATAGACTTTATTTTTTAGAGCAGTTTTATGTTCACAGCAAAATTGAGTGGAAGGTACAGACATTTCTCATACACTCCCTTGCAGTAGGATTTTATTTGTGATATATGGCTCACTATATCCCCAACCTATTTTTTTACCCCCTTCATCCCATTTGCTGACATGGCCCATTACGTCTTACCTGAACCAGACTGTAGAGAATCTACAAAACCAGTCTGCCTCGATAAGGGAAACTGATGCCAGTGTGGGTCCTTGAGAGAGATAAGTGGAAAGGGAGGTTGAGGAAGCAGCAGTGTGCAAGCAAGTCTGGGAGGGAACACATGGAAGAGAGGAACCGTGTGGAAAGTTGATGTAGGAGTCCTGATGTACAGGGACGAGACCCCGGATCATGTGTAAGCAACAATGGAAAGATGGAAAAGGACTGGTTCAGTCTGTTCAGTCTAGAAGATACAGTTAGCTGGTTTGCCAGATCTGGAGTCAGACTGAATGCAAATGTCACAGGAGGGCATGTATGTGCTATATACTTGATCATATTGAAGAATAGCTCCTGGTTAAAACAGGCCAGCAAAGGGGTAAGCCTCACAAAGCTGTACACACATACTGCTAATCAAAATCCCAAGGGATTAAAAACAATGATTTGGAAAAATGATTCTTAAGTAGTTATCTGGAATAACACTGCAAGAACAGTAAAAAGTTTTGAAAGATGAATATTTCATCAATATTAGATCTGTAAATATTAAGAGTCTGTCATTTAAAATAGGTAAAATCATTAAAATAATGGAATACTGTTGTAAAAATAGATGCACAGACAAATGGAACAGAAAAGGCAGCTTAGGAAAAGAAGGTAGTCTGTATAAGAATCTCACATATGATGAAATTCTCACAAATCCATGGGACAAACTGTTCTTCAGTGAGCAATGTCAGGAAAAAACTTTGGGAAAAGGTATTGGTTTAAATTTGAAGTATATTATATACCAAAATAAGTTAGGGATGGATGAAAAAGGCACAATGTGAAAATAAAAGAAGAAAATGAATGAATTTGACTCATGTCTAGATGAGAAAGATTTTTTTTCTTTCTTTTTTTTTAATCCTTACCCGAGGATATGTTTTTATTGATTTTTAG